GATGAGGAGGTGCCATCAGAGCTGCTGTGTGTCCCACACTGAGCCTCTGGAAAGGCACAGTGATTGCTGGTCTGATCAGCAGCTGCAGGAACTGGGGCAAGAGCTGGAGGTGCCCCAGAGTGGTGATGCCTCTGTTCCTCTCCTGGCATCACTTTGCTGTTAGACAGTGACTCATGAGAATAATGAAATGTTTCTGGAGGGAGAGCTGGAAGTTTAACCTGCACTGTGGCATTGGAGGGGGCAGAGCAGGGGCAGACAGTCCATGCATTGACTTCAGCCATGATGTGCCCCTTCAGGAGGGGAGGACAGGGACCAGGGAGGGGGGAGGGAATTTGCCAACAAATATGCAGACATAAAGACGCTGTGGCTGGGTTGACAAATTAGTTCTGCATAGCATTCATTCCAGTGCTCTGTGACTTAATTTTAAAAACAGAAAGCCTCATTGACCTTGGTTGTGGGATACAGAGTTCACAGCCAACCCCAGGACTGCAGCAGGGCACAATGGTGGCATTGCTGAACTGGGCTTGGAAAATCTTACCATCCTCACAGTCTAGAGGAATTATTTGCAAATAATTTGGGGTTTGCACTTGCACTCTGGAAATGTTCAAGGCCACGTTGGATTGGGCTTTGAACAAGCTGTTTTAGTGGAAGGTGTCCCTGCCCAGAGCAGGGGGATTGGAACTCGATGATCTTTAAAAGTCCCATCTAACCCAAACCATTCAGTGATACTCTCCCGAAATTAGGGAATTCAACCAACACATTTTGAAGAGGAGGGAGGTGGAGTCCTGGGAATTGCTGTTCTAGAGAGCTAGATGTGAGGAAAGGATGTATCCACGCTGTTTCCCTAGTGAAATGTGGAGTCCCTTATTTCAGCTCCCAGAGACTTTGCTGCTGCCAGAAGTCCTTCCTGGGCTCTGGAAGGAAGTCCTTCCTTTGCCAGGAATAGGCAAAGAAATGGGCATACTGCAGTGTGAATAGGTGAACTTGCATTGGCAGGGTTAAAACAAGTATAAAATGTTCCCCCTTTCCTACCTACGTTAGGAGGTTTCCATTTCAGGAAGGAAGTGTGGGTCTGTTCTGTCATACCTGGGGGTGGGAGAGCCCAGTGGTGTAATTAATGCTGCACGCCTCTGCTCCACAGTTGTAGACTGTAAACAGAGCTGATCAAATGATGGTGTGGGAGAGGAATTGTTTAAAATAAATTTTAATAAATTATAAATATGTATGACTTGCTTCAAGTCTACCTAGCCAGGCAGTATTTCCAAGCTTACGAAACACAGCCTCCTATCAGTAATATTCATGTGAGCAACTGCCCTGGTGGTTGGATGCATCTCATCCATGTTAAGTTTAACTGTTGTGAACGATCAGAAGGTCTTAAGCCCCAGTCAAAGAGCAGGGGTTTATTTCTTGTGGAACTCAGCAGAGGATGGGATGGCTCTTATCTAGAATTCCACAAAAACAAAATTCAGTGGCCCTTTTGATGTTAGGATGGGAGGAAAGGAGAAGATTTCAAGTCCTGCTTTTAACTGCTTTGTTTGTCAGAGGCTTGTGGAGTAAAGAAAACTAGTTTATTGCTCTGATTCACAATAAACCATTAAAATATTCACAAACAGACCGTTAAAAAAGAAGAAACTGGGAGGAGTGAGAGGAGCCAGAAGTCCTTTTGATGAAGACCGCTCTGCTGTGATTTGTGCTCCCTCCCTTGGCTGACCCAGATCAGGGCTGAGTTTGGGGCCTCAGCAGGAAGGACTGGAGTGAGCACAGCTGGGGATGCATGAGATACTGTGCTGAAGTTAGGCTGCTGCTCTCTTACTGAACTTGGGAATTCCATTCCCAGGTGCACAGGCATTGCTTTCCTTTTGTTGCCAGAGTGCAAATAGTCTTAAAAATGCACAGTTTGACTAAAATGTAGGGATAGCTGGATTCTGGAAAAAAAAAAAAAAAAAAAAGGATGTTATTTAGCTATTATGGAAAGGAGCTAAATAGCATGAGTCAGACATTTGACTTTAGAGGAAGTAAGACATCTAAGAATCCTTGTGTTTCAGCCATATACTTCTGCATTTCCTTCCAGAAGGAATAACAGCCCTTCCCTATCCCCAGGGTAGTTGTGTGGATAAGTATGTAGTGTGATAGAAGCTGTTTAGATAAGCAGACCTACCCAGTGTGGATTTGCTTTATACTAACAAAATCACTATCAGATGGAATACAGAACAACTCATTGATGCTGCGAAAGCCAACAAATACCTTTTTCATTCCTGTAGATGACAGAACCGCTGCTTATTTTTCTTTATTTAAGAGGTATTCAGGAGGCAGAACAAAGCTCTGCTATTGCCTCCCAGCAAGTGACCTAAACCATTTAAGCTGAAACATATGACTCTGAGGAAGTATTTTGCAAAAACAGATGCACAGAAAGTCAATTTCCTATTCATATTTTGTTGTGGCAATTGGTAGTTTCAAGAGATGGCAGACTTAAATTAGCTGGAAAAGTGACATCTTTAATTAGGAAAGCCTCTCTGCCAGCACATTGAACAGTTGCCAGTTTTTCAGCATTTAGGGACCATTGATTGCCAACAATGGCAGCTAAACTGCTTCTGGGTAGAAACTAATTGAATTTTCTCAAGTTAAAACGAGGATCTGAAGTTAAATCAAGACGAACTCCTTTGCTTGCTCTCATTTTACTTACTGCTGTGATATTCTCAGCAGTCCAAGGCTGTGCTAGATGTTGGTGAATGGAGCTGCCTGGGGCACAGCTGTACAGATTCCTCCAGCCTCAGTAGTCCTGGGACCCTGCTGTTACCACTCACCACACAGATCCCTGTTGGTCCTGCCATGCCATTTTGGTGGTGGAGGACTTTTTTTCCTGGAGCAGGTTGCTTTTGCTTTTCTTCAGTCTTGTGCTGTTGCAATGGGAGCTGGTGGAGCCAGTCTGAGGAGCTGGGCTCTACCCTATTGCCTGAGCATCCCTTCCAAGCCAGTGCTGCCTTCTCCCTTGGGATGGGTAAATGGCCTGTGGGTGACATGCACAAGCTGTGAAACTGGGTTGCAAATTTTTGTGGGGCTTGCCAACTAGACCTTCAGTGGCATGTGGGTGGTGTTGGTCCCAGGTCTGCTCCCTTTCCTGTCAGAGCTGAGGGCTGAGCACACCCTGAGGTGCAGCCTCATGCCAGGCTGGAAAAGACCTGGGCTCTGAAGGATTGCTGCTTTTGCTGGCTGCGGTGCGGATGCTTTAGCTGTATTTCTGTCCCTTCTTTGGTTATTTCCTCATCTCAGGTGTACCTTCTCTGAAGCATTTTTAGCACCTCCTGCACCCATAAGCCCGGGAAGATTTGTCCTCTCTCTGAGCAGGTTCTCTTACTGTTCCTGGTAATCATCCAGGCTGAGTTCTGGCACAATGTCAGTTCTAATCCATCCCATCCTTCCTCTGTTGCTAATGTATGGTCTGAGGGATCATTCCCTGAGCTCTCCAATAAATGCTGCTGAAACGTTTGGCTGCATGGAGAACCTGAGGGGAGCTCTGCTGATAATAATGATAAATCTGAAAAGTTTAGGATTATCTGCCCAACTTGTGTGGAAGCTAGAAATGCTTAGACCTGAACTGTCTGCTTCAGGCCTATGCTTAGATGAGGAACTCAGAGATGTAATTACATGTTTCCCAAAGGGCAACTCAGTTTCTTATTTCCTTTTTTACCTTCATCCTGATTTATCTCCTTTTGCCCTCCTTTCCCTTAGCAGGGGTTTTGGAGGATAGTCTCTGCTTGCTTCCTTCATGGTTTGAAATATAGCTCCAGCTGGTCTCAGGGGAAGGAGCCTGCTGGAAGATGATCTTGCTCTAACCATATGTGTGTTTATTAAAGCTATTCAGCTCTGGTAGACTGTGCTAGTGCTGTAAGAAAATGATTGGGGTTTCGGTGTGTCTTCCGTTTAGAATCAAGACAAAACTTAAACTTCAGGTTTTGGTCAAAATGGAAGTTTTTTTTTCAACCAACATGTTTTACCCCCAGGTATCTCAATGACTTTGTTTTTCTGTTAAAAAAATCAGGAAAAATTTGTAGGAAGGGCAACTCCTGCCTTGCTATGCTGCCTTACTCCTGCCTTTTCTCCCTGGCAGAATACAAGGAGCAGAAGAAAGGAAGGGTTCTTGGAGTACTCAAGAAAGGCAACTTTGTGAGGCATCAACTGAGTCTTTGGTGGGCAATGGCTCCCAGCTGTTGTCAGGATTAGCAATGTGTGTTTTAAATGTGACCCAGAGTTGTGGGTTCTCCGTCCACTCAGCCCTGCCTTATATGTCAGCATTAAAAGAAGTTGTTCAATGTGTCTTCTCATGAATTATGTACATTTGCTTTCTGTTTGAGTCTCCTTTAAAAGAAAAAAAACCCCACAACTGTTGGAGTGGGAGAGAACTTGAAACAGATTTGAAGATTGCACAGGAAAAATAATTCAGTTAAATCTTTTGTTAGAAAGAATCCATTTCTCAGCAACGAAGGATATTATTCATCTTCTCCCATTGCCTTCTGGCATTAATACAGAACAGAAATATTTTGCTTATGAAATGCACATTCTTTCAGGTACTTTACAAGTGGTTTATTCCCATTACAAATACAGTGAAAGGAAAGAAGATCCTTACCCCTCTTACAGACCCACTGTCAGGGAGCTGCTTCTTTTGCTTCTCTTTCTAGTGGTAGATAGGAAAAGTACAGACTTCTGAAACTATATTATGTCTGGAAATGTTAAAGGAGATTTTCTCATCACTATGTGAAATGGCAGCAGACATTGCCCATATTTGGAAGTAAAGTTTAAAGGAAGAGACAGCAAAGATGTGATTGTTCACTTAAGAGAAGTGTTCTGGGAGTCATCTGCATGGAAAGCAAAAAGGACAAATTGCTGGGGAGTGTATGAGGGTTTTAAATGAAGCCTGTGAAAAGTCTGCTCAGCTGTTACTAGGGAATGGCAGGAACAGATGAGTGCCCTGAGGAAATTGAAATTTCCTGTGTTTCTGCCAGCCCAGGCACCAGGATGTGGAAGGCCACAAGAGTCTGATGCCACATCCTGCAGTTGTGCTGAAGATGAAGAAGAGGATGCTGACATGGGAGTCAGAATTGACATTGCTGACATTGAAAGGAGAGAAATGAATACTAAAAAAATATCATGAAGCAGAAATCCTGGGGAATATGTGAAGTGTTTCTGCAGGGGAATAGGGAGGTGCTGGATGGTGATACTCAGAAAACCTCTACAATAAACAAAGCTGTGCAAGTGTTGCTAAAGTTGGAAGCCCTGGCCTGTGACGTGGGTCAGAGGGGTTCCCCAGCAGGCAACAGGACTGCAGACTTTTGATTTAATTTGAGATTTTTACTGTAAAAGAGCCACTATTTTAACTGCTAAACAGCAGATTTCTAGTAGTCAAAGCAAGCAAAATGGCCAGATTTTTTAAATAAAACTGAAAAGATTGGGGTGATTAACTGAGAAAAGGAAGTGTTTTCTCCCTCTCATAAAAACACAGAGGTTTGTTCAAAGAAGCTGTAAAACCCAGCAAAAACTAGTATCAAAAAGCTTGTGGTGCCACAGATAAAGTCTTCCCTCCTCCTGGCAAGGGCTGTGCTTCCCAATTCTTTGATCTTCTGCTTAATTCACATGGGGTGTGTGTCATAATTCAGATTTCCACAAAGGATCAAAGTGATTTGGTGTAGTCAAAGACAGAGGTTTGGAAATAACACAGAGCATGTAAGCAGTGGTTAGTAAGGGATGGTTTTGATAGGTGTTTTTCTGTGCTCTGAAACTTTTGAAGTTCATTGTGTGGGGCCAATGGGGAGGGAAAAACCCAATAAGACTAATCATTGAATGAAACATGAACAGGGGTTTAAATGTCAAAAACCTGAGAAGGCACCTGGGGCTCTCTGTCCATAGAGCTGTCGAAGTGGGCTGGTGAGATAAAAAGAGAGATCTTGTTAGTGTTTGCAGCCAAAGCTGTTTTCCACAACGCTGATGAAGATTTACCGATTTATTTTGCCAGTTGAGTTTTGCTGGTTGAAGATGTAGGATTGGTGCAGGCTTTTAAGAAACTTGCTCAGATTTGAGGTGGGCAGTGCAAAGACACCACCTGTGTGGACACCCCTGGGCCTCTATAGACTCTGCACCTCTGTGTGTGAATGTCCTGTCCAGAGTGTCTCTAGTCCATGTTCAGTGCCTGTGTCCACCTCTGCTCATTGTAGGAGGAGAAACTGAGCTCCTCTGGTGTCATGCTCAGGGTCTGTGCAGCTCATCACCAGCCTGGAAGCAGCTCTTCTACTGTTGGAACAAGACAGTTTGATCCTGGGACAAGGCTGTTTGAACTAGAGAGGTTTTCCTCCTTTTCTGTACATCTGAGAGATGAGTAATACACTGTCTAGTTACCTGCAAGGTTGCAGGCTTCCATTATCCTGCCCAATTTGATGCTTCTGTCCAGAACACAACCTTGTGAATGACCTTTTTGCCTCCTGAGGTTTGCTGCTAAGTGTGATGCTTTGAGAAGAGGTTTGCATTTAAGACATTCAAGAACCAGACCCTGTTTCAGTGTTCAGTGCAGAAGCTTTTAGTCTTTCTAATATTTTTCCTTGGAAAACTACTGATTTGTATTGCAAATGTGTTTGTATAATTCTTTAAAGTCTGGTTATTTTTCTACACCAAATGGAATTCTTAAAGTATAAATGCAGTTGCTTCATCAGGAGAAGTTCAGCCATAGAAGGTCATAAAACTTACAAGAGTCAAGAGCAAATTTTAATAAGGTCCCAAGGTCCCCAATTAATTCTCCTTTTTTTTATATATACTCATCAATGTTGGGCCACCAATTGCATTGAGTGTCCTTTAAAAAGAATTAATACCGCAATCCCTTGAGTATTTACAAGGTACATAAGTTTTGAAGTTAATCACAGTAATGGTAAAGAGATAGAAACTGCTTTTTTCCTGTACTTGTTGTATATAACTATAGGACCATATAGATAATCAAACATTTCTAGGCAGATCTGGATTGATTTAGAGATTACAGCTGAAGCAGAAGTTGAATTGCAGCTGGATGTTGTTGAAATTATACAAGCTCTCTTCTTGACATTTTTTTATATTCCAGCTTCCTCTTGCTATTTTCCTCTTCCCTATAAAATCTTGTATTATCTGCAGGTTTTGAAGACTTCTTTTTCTAATCTGGGTTGCTTTTTTTTGTTTTGCTCCTTAAATAGAGATTTGAGAAAATGTGAGAGTATTACTTGACAACCAAATTATGTTGGAGTGAAGCAAGTTGACTTTGTTGCGTGAAGCTGCATCAGCTGGTCTTCTGGCAAAGCACAGTTCAAGATGAAAGAGTGAAAAATGCCTTATATTTAAACTTCTGGGGAAACACTGGATATGGCCTGGTTGTTATAGTGAAGTTATCTTTAAACACCAGTGTTTAATGGAAACACATTCTTTCTGCCATCACTTTTAGTTTGGCTCAGGAATGTATTTTTACATGAAACTTGCATGTCCCCACTTTCCAGTCCTGGTGTGCTCTGTAGGATGGACTCAGTGCAGGGGCTGAATTCCTTTCCAGTGAACACAGATGTGGAGATGGGCTCCCACTGTTTGTCTGGTTCCCACTGCTCAGAATGGCCAGAAGGCATCAAATGTGGGGTTTGGTCCTCAGCACCCTCTGCTTCACTGCCCAGACCTGCCCTGTCACATTGCACTGCTTACTAACAAAGACCAAGCTGCAGATATTGGTTCCATTGGAGTCATGGGCTTTTCTTTACCACTGGTTACAGGCAGAGCCAGTGTTTCAGTGTCTGCTGGAAATGCCATCCCAGGTGTAGACAGTGCTCTGCTGAGAGCACTGCAGCATCCTACATGCTTTGGGGAGTAGGAATCTGGCTATTAAAAGCAGCTGTTCCAAATGTTTAAAAAGGAAACTTGTACCAAAAAAAAAAAAAAAAAAAAAGGGTGCTGTAAATATTTCACATTTTAATTACTTGTCTAGTTAACTTGCTCTGTTTCCTGCAGAGTCCAGGTTTTTTATTTTCTGGAACTTTGATGTGCCTTGCTTTTAAGAGGGTCTTCTTACTTGTACATATGCTGCAACCCAGAAATACACACCTGAGAAATTTGTCTATAGGTGAGCAAGGCTGCATTTTTGTATTCTGCAGATCTAATCAAAACTCATTTTAATAATGTGATTTGTCTTAAATTTTCTACTGTGTCTAAACCTTTAGACTTTTCAGTCTGCTTTCCAGTCATTATAGGCAGATTTCTGTATGAATAATGCATAGTTTTGCTTTAAAAATCAGTCTACAAAATCCACTTTATTTTCACTTTTTATTGATTCCAACCTTGGTGTCTTGCATACATCAGAAATTTAACAACTTAAAATGTGTCTATCCGTACAAACGACTCATTGATCAAAAAAGGTTAATTTGACCGACTCCCTTGAATTTTTCATTGTCTCTCTTTTTAGTTTCTATCTAAGTAGGAAAAACAATTTCCATTTAGAAACTTCAGTTTTCAGAAGGGTAGGGTTTTGTTTTCTTTGCTGAATGTATGGGCATACAGTGTATTCATTTAAATACAAATTCATAGAAACAATTCACAAATACAATTCACAGAAAATGTGAACCCATAAAGTACTGACTTTATTACTGTAAGAATGCTCAAGTTATGCTTCCATTCCAAAGAGATTAATCTGTTGCTGACTGCTAACATTTAATTCATTATAAGGTTAAGTACAAGAGAATTTGATAATTTTTGAAATGGTAAAGGAAACATTTTTGACCACTATTAATGAGATTGCCATAATTTGCCTGTTTTCTCTTTTCCCCTCCTCTTCGTTTGATCTAATTTGTTTTTCCTCTTGAATTTCCTCAGCACTTTTCTTCCCAGATGCTCTGCCATCCCACTTTTTAATTGCCTTTTTACTTTCTGAGGTGGATGTAGGGGGGACCCAAATGCTGATTGGGAGATAACAGTGGGAACCCCTGTGGTTCATCTTGGTGGGCTGGGATCTGGCAGCCTGGGAATTCCCACCTGAAGTCCTGGTGAACTGTCATTGTGGAGACAGGGCTGCTGCTGGGTCTTTGCTGACCTACTGGGATCGTTTGTGGTGGCTAAGGTTTAGTCTGGAACCAGTGCCCTGTGCTTGCATGATTGAATACATTTAAAATAGAAAACACTTCTGAGCTTACACAGATCTCTGTTTCACATTGGCAGCAGCCACTTCAGACCAGGTTTTCCCACTCTCCTCGAAGGTGACTGACAAAATCTGCTGGGGAGATGGAAGGTTTGGGTTCATGTTTCCCTTCGGAGTCCTCAGTAGGAGGTGAAGGAGAATTTCTACTCTTATTTTAGGAAAGGTGATTTCTATGAAATTTCTGCCTTTCAGCAGGGAGTTTGAAGAATCTTACATGGAACATAGAATTTAACAGAGGATGTGGCAAAACCTGCCAGTGCAGAAGCAGCCCCTGCACAGGGAAGAGGGACCTGGCAGGCTCCATCTGGGAGCAGTGGGACCAGTTGGGCTCCCCTGGAGCAGTGCAGATGCTGCTGTAAGTAGAAGAAAATGTCCCTTTGCTGCTGCTGCTACCTTTCACTTGCATTGGAATAGAAACTTTTTTGATCATGATGCCTGGAGAGGCATCAATCACATCTGAATTACTTGCTGCCTCAGAGGTTTTATTGTGCAACACCTGTTTTTCTCTAAACCCAGGCACTGTGTGATCTGACCAAAGCCTGGAGGGAAGCACATACTGCCATGCCACTTTTATGTGCTGCCAAACCCCTTACAGTGAAGTGCCTTTAAAGCAAGACTGTCAGTGTGGTTGGCTGAGTGACAGAAGATCGGTGCTGACCACTTGTTAGATGCTTGGCTAGCTGTGAAATGCCAAGGGGTTGTTATCCTCACCTGTAAGTTCCTTAACTCAAACGTGCCATAAGGACCCTGGCTCTCCTGAGGTGGCTTTAAAAAAACACAGATTCTTTCATTAACATCAGGAGGCCAAGCAACATCAAGGAGAGCTCAGGCAGTGTTAGAGAAGCACAATGGGGTGGGGGATGATGCTGTGGTACACAAGTGCTGAAGGAAAGATAAACTTTCCTATCTCAGTCCATCTGGGGCTAGACCATTGTGATGGATTGCTAACATGTTTGCAAGCAACAGCCGTGTGACAAAAACCTCTTTTCTGTGTGACAGGTTTTGTTTTCCCTATAGAAGTGCTGGCTGCTTGGACACTGCTTTCATGTGGCTCTGGCTGAGATGTCCCCATGGCTGTGTTGATCCCTGTTTTGTGGGTGAGGGGACAGGAACCTTCTTGCCAGTGGCCACAGAGCCCTCCCAGAACACAGAGACGTGGCACTTCCCTTGCTGTTGTCTCGTCTCTCGTTGTGCTTGATGCTTGCAGGGGCTGGCACTTAAATATGCTCATGCAGCCCGGGGCACTTTTGCCACTGATGAAGTGGGTGATTTAAATAAAAATGGAAATTGTTCCTGTGTTTCCTTAGTGGGTCAGTGGGTTCTTTGGACAGCAGTGCCTGAGCTGGCCCAACAGCTGGCTCTGTGCTGAAGCAGAGGAGCTGCTGGAAACGACCCATCCCAGTAGGTGATGCCTGCTTTGAAATGCTCTCAGCCCTCCCAGGTGCTGGGGCCCTGATCTCCTGCCCGTGTCTGTGGTGAGCTGCCTGCCTGGCACACAGCCTGCTAACATGTCCTAGCAGTGCAGGCTTGCCCTGCTTCACAATTTTATACCCTTCCTATGAAACAGAAACAGCAATGTGGATGTATTTATTCAAAGCATCAAGGGATGAGGCCTTTAGCAGCCTGACTGGTTGTGTGACATTTACCTTCTCATGTCTGTCAGGATTTTCATTGCTGAAATGAGGCTGATGAACTGCTCCTCTCAAGACTGCTTCTTCAGCCAGGGCTGAAGCATTGGGATGCTGGATAATAATCTACTGACTTCATCTTATGTAGTGAGACAGGGTCCTACATATTTGGGACGCTCCTGTGGCTTGTCATCATTCTTCATCTCGTATCTTTTGGTTTTGTAAGATTGACAAAGGAATCACTTAAACATCCAATTTCATGTACTCATTCTTAGGACAGCATTTGAATGAAAACTTGATGTTTATATTGAGTCCAAAGTAAGGATTTTTTTCTTTCCCTGAACTGGGCTCTAAGAGCTGGATGTAACTGCAGATTTCAAAAGGTAAAGACGTCCCATCTCAGTATTGGGAGTATTTATTTATTCATTCATTCATTCATTCATTCTGGCAAGGTCAAAAAGATGAAAACACAGGGCTGGATTAAAACCTTTGTGTTATAAGTGAGAAGATATACATTACTTAAGTGGACTCAGTCTATAGGGAATGCTGGATTTGAGGCTTTCTAATGGGCCCTCCTGCCTGTCCCCAGGAGAGGCAGACCTGGGTTCACTGGGTGCCAGAAAAGAGATGCAGCTGGAACACTCAGGGGGTTTGTCCCAGCTGAAGGTACTGCTGCTGTGAAGCACAGGAAGTTTGGTGAGGCATGGGAAAGTCTGGGGCTTGAAAATGCTCTGTGGTGAAATTTTGTGAAGGATGCTGCCTTGCTTTCTGTTCAATTTGTGTGCATAGGTGATGAGCATGACTGTAAAAATAGGAGCCAGGATAGAATGACTAGGAGGATTTATTTATTTTTACTAACATAGGGGAGTTTTCTTTGCTGGTTTTGTTTAGCTTGTTCTGGTTTCAATATGAATCTGCATCATCTCAGTACTTTAGAAATTGGTGCCTTGGAGATGTGATCAGCAACTGCTTGGTGTTTCATTCTCTTTCTGCTCTTCTAGACACTACATGAATGTGTGCCATCATACTTATTTCCTGACATTATAGTAAGATTTCTTATGGTTTCTTCCTGCATATTGCTCCTAGCATTGGACAAGATCCTAAATTGGAAAAGATATTAAAAAATGAACGTAGCAAACAAAGCAAATAAAAATAAGGAATAAAGTGTAGCACGTAGATTTCATATAATTTTTGTACAAACTTAATTCTTTTCCTTAAGCACAGGCAAGGTTTTTCCAGAGAAAGTAAACACTGCTAGCATTTTATTAGCACCTTGGTTACCCTGGCCTTTTCAATCTAACAGCAGAGTGTAGCTTGGGGGAGGGTGTTAGAGCTTATCTTCTACTCTTTTGGCACCTTGTTCAAATTAATGACAAAGCCCCACATAATGTGCAAGTGAACATGAGGTTTTGCTGGTGCTTGAAAACCCTATACTAAAACTCCAAAATGAAAATTCTTTTTTCTTGAGCCCCATGACCTAACCCCCTCCTTGAACAATGGGGGGAAGGTGGGAGAAGAAAAAGGGAAGGGGGGAAAGAAAAAGTAATTTTAATTTTTTTTTTTGAGATTGTGACTCAGTATTCTTTAGCTCTCTGGAATGCCACAAGTTTTTTTAAGCATCCATTATTTGTCACTTGGCAGAAAGAGGCTGATAGCTTGAGATTTGAATTGTCATTTTATACATAACACACTGACAGATCCATGCAAAAACAAACCTACCAAAATTACATTTAAAAATATATAAAGACACCAAATAAACTTAACAGAAAGCTTGTCAACACTATTCTTAATTTCATGATAAAAGACAGGACAGAGCAGGACAGAAGGAGCTGCTGGGATTGTGCCTTTTACATTTGCACTGATTTTTTTGAGCCTGGTCCTGTTGCTTTCCAGTTGCTGTCTCCTAAAAGGAAATGGGCTTTTCTAAACATCAGGTAGAGGGAGGGGATTTTGTATATTGGCTCTTTGGAGGCAGAACTAGCAGGATTCTTTGGAGAATCCAACTAGCAGAAAACTGCTTGAAATCGGGATCGATCTCCCTCATTGAGCAAGGTGTTGTGTCAGTAATTTGCTGTCAATATGTTTCTGAACTTGAACATGAATTTGCTTTTGGACATGCCAGCACTTTTTCTAGTCTGTGTCCACACACAGTTGGAGGATTGGCTTTTAATTGTGTGAATGTCAGACTGGATGTTTGGACTCTTAAGAAGATGCTTTCAAAATGATCTTTTTCTAACAAGGGCCAGCCAAGGTATTTTAGCACAGAAGGAAGAAAGGTTTCCTCAACACTTCTTTGTCAAAGCAGATATTGCAATCTGGGGCAGGATAGGGAAGGGTCTCTCTCACCCAATTCTTTGCCCAATGTTTGTATGAATGTGTCAAAATATTATTTTGCGTAGCCAACCTGTGAATTTTATTTTTGACCACTATGGTAAGGAGCTTTACTTTGTTCTGTAGCTCTCCATGAAGTATCAGAGGCCTTTTTCATGCTGATACTTAGGTGTGCAGTTTTTTGCTCTGTAATTCTCCAAAGTTTTCTTACTTGCTCTGGATGGCTTTTGCAATGGTCTGATTGATTGCCTGAGAGTTAAACACTCCCATGAAAGTACTCAATCCACTAAATCTCAAACTGAAGCTGTGCTTCAGTGACAGTTAATTGGGAGTTATTTATGGTTTTCTGCAGGCAATAGGTACTATCACTATTTTCCTTGGAGTAGCATTTAAAAGATTCAGAGATTGGGTCCCTCCTACACTAAACAACATTTAAACATATTGAAAAAGGGTTTCTGTTCCAGAAACTTTAGAGGTAAGTTATGTCTTTACCATGAAAAAGCAATCCTGAAAATAAATATTGAATAACTATTTCAGAGGAGCCAGGGAGAAAATTATTGGTCATTCCAACTACTTCTGGATAATGCAGTGCCTTGAATTTAAATGGGAAGAACTTACCTGGCCCTATTATCAATGGTGCACCAAACTGAATATTTAAAAAAGGTATGCTTTGAAGTCAAGCTGCAGGTACACACTAGTAGGCTGTATCCACTGACTTGACCCTGGCTATTGAGATCCCATGGTAACTCCTGGAATATGTATGCATGTATATGAGAGGAATAAACAGAGCTCTCAAATTTCAAGAAATCACTGTATCACTGCTTTCTGTCTGACCTTGAAAGTTCTTGAATTATTAAAGAGTCTCTTAAAAGTGCAACCTAGTTTCTAAACTCTCTAACTTTAAAATGGCATAACCATTGTGAAATTTAGTTCTGGAACCATTTAAGCAATTTTTTTCTGCATTACTTTAATTACAAAAATTGGGTGTTTCTATTGCTTTGGAACGTTTTATCATTTTAATTAGAATTAATAATTTTACGTACACTACTGTGCTGTGAATTCAGGATACCAAAAGTTTTAACAGCTCCTAATACTCTTGCAAAAATATCCTTGAGTAGCTGAAATACTGGGGGAGTTTCTGATAGCTGAGTACCACCTGAGTTATTTACATGCCTAAGTTGCAGAGGGATCTAGGTAGCTTTTAAATACACTGGGGTACAAAGGTATTGTTTATGCTGCCTGTGAGCAGAAAGCAGACTCCACTGTGAGAACTGAGGCTGGACCAAACTTTGGGCTGCTCAACAAACACACCTACATTTGGGCACCTTTGACTTGAGCAGATTTTGAAATAATGATCTAAGGATCACCTCCATCCTCTTCCTTGGGTTAGAAGTTTTCATACAAGAAAGAGTTCCCATGTTTTTCTGTGATGCAGGTGGTGATATGTTGTAGACTTTGCTCCAGATTTGCCCTTGATACAGTGAAGGGGAATCAGGACTACAGCTGTTTATAGCTTATTATTTTATATCTCATTTATTAACATCAAAGAAGTGGCATGTCTCCCCAGTTCCGAGGTTTGGGGTATTTTATGTTCCCTTGTACATAAGTGAGTTTTATGTGCTGTAGGAGAAACTTGCAATGGAAAATTCATCCAACCCCTCCTCACAAGTGTGAATCTGTGTCTGTCTCAGCAGAAAATGCTTCTGCTACAGGAGCCACTTGCAGGCTGTGGTCAAAGCTGAACCTTGGCTGTGGCACAGCTTTAGGTCTTGCAAATCCCTTTGAGTTCCATCTAACAGGGAGGCCTTTGAATTCTGGGTTATTGTCAATGTTTACAGCGATGTGATTGGAGCCAATTAGTGACTTGTGCTTTGTGTGTGCTGTAATAACAGAGATGTTGTTTTCCCACTTTGCTAAATAGGCACAAGGCAAAGAAACTTTCTCCTCCCTGAGGAGGGAGCCTGTAGTGAAAGTCCCCTGCATCAAACACCCATCTCTCCCTGCTGTGCAGGAGTATCTAAGGAAAGCAGGGAATGTCCAAGTGTGTGCTGAGAGGAGGAGCAGGGCAGCACTTTTCAGTGCAGGGTGTGGGCCAGGGTCTGCCACCTCCTGTGTTTTGTGGTTCCACTGGAATAACAGAGCAGGGCAGTGTTTGATGGCTGATGTGATTTGCTGTGTGAATACAGATGCACTTACTGCCCTATAGCTTGTGTCCATGCAGAGCTCCTTCAGCAAAGGCTGGGTGAAATGGGAAGGGGTGGAAAGGAGCTATTAATTTTGGCCCTTCAGGAAAGCAGCATCCTGTAGATTCTGCAGTCATCACATCCAGTTTTTCTCCTTGTGCATTTGTCTCAGATCAAGCCCTGCTATCCACTTTAAATGTAACTGCTGTCAATGAGGCACTCTCCAATTCCAGGCTTATGCACCAAGTCAGAGCTATGCAAAAGTCCTACAGGAATCAATCCTCCATGTCTCAGGGACAGAAATGCTGCCAAGAAACATGAACTATCACTTTTGTTTCCTCCATCTTAATAAAATAGAGACATCTTTCAAAGTTAATTTCAGAATGTTCTTTGTTGTCAGAAGTAATTTGGTGGCCTCAAAGGGCTGAAAGCCCCATCCCCTGGAGAGTCAAATGCACTTTTGGATATTTGTGTTATGAATTGTGGTGTGTAAACAGGCAGTTTCCAGTCTCCCTGCTCTCTTTATCTGGATCTGTAGACTAAAACCAGTGTGTGTTTTAATTAGGAGACACAGTTAAAACTATTCAGAGATGAAAAATTGAAGAGACCTACTTGCAAGATGCATGTTCCTCCTTTTTCTGACACGTACTCATGAGCACACCCTTGGAGAGCAGGAGCTCCAGCTCTGGCTCTGTTTCTGGGACTTGGAGCTGCCGGCTCTGAGGGCTTAACTTAGGGGTGGCCAAATTCTTCCACTGAACAATCTCTGCTGATGCTGGGGACCAGGACAAGGCTGTCCTTTGTTGGCAGAGATGAAGCTGGAGCAGGCAGTTCCACCACTGGGGTCTGTAATGAAAGTTGCAGAGCTCAGGGCTGTGGCCCCTTCTGGTGGGAAGTGCCAAGGCTCTCCCTGTGCAGGGCAGTGAGTGTGCTGCAGCTCCTGGGAGAGGAGAGGCAATGCCTTGTGGCTCTGGACCTGTCCCCCTAAACCTTACACAGTAAGGGGAAATAGTAACAGTCAGTTTCTGCTCTGTGAGAGGAATGAAGCATAATAATGTGTTAGCCTAGACTGCTACCTGCCAGAGTTAGACAGACTCAAGGCTGGGGAAAAAAAAGCTTATAATTTGATTTTTCCATCTGGATGAGACTGCTCAGTTTGCCTGCAGTCTGTGTCTCTGGGGGCTGGTGCAGAGCGATGCTGCTGCGCTCCCGGCCCCGCAGGGGAGCAGGGCCAGCGGAGAGGCGTCCTGCGGGAACACGGATGCTGTTCTGGAGCAAACTGAGATGTAGATCCAAACGTGCTGATGGAAAACAGCCTGAAAATACACACAATGACCAAATGGTGCCTCTCCCCCAGCTTGCTGCTGACAAAACTCAGGTGATTTCAGATGCTGAATAGATTTATAGAAAATGTTTTCATCCTGCTTGCCACCAATTTAAAAACATTTTAGAAAGAAAATGAAGTGGCAGTTGTAAAGTATTCAGCATATTCATGCTTAAATAATATGACCAGAATCCTGTAAAAAAAAGGATTTCTGTTTCTAGATTTCTAAAAGGATTTCTAAATCTAGAAATTAAACTGTATGCAATTATGACAAGACCATTTAACCTTTGTCTAGTCTACCTGTCCTTATCTGTTTAGTCAAGCTTCCCTGAACAAATTGTTTTTATAGCAAAACCACAAAAAGTGATTAGCACAGAAACGGTATTTATTCTGATTATCCTCTAGTGGCTAGACTATTGCAAGAGTTAAACCTCATTTGCATCTTTCTGCAAACAGATGTGGCTGTAGAGAGCTGTGGTATCACAGACAGCAAGGCTAATGTGTAGGGTGTGTGGTATGTCAGCTTTCTGATCTGGCTGGTTAGGCTTATAATTTCCTTCCAGTCAATAACAACCTCTGGTTGTTTGATTGTAAAGGGAAAGGCACTTTGGGGCTTAGGTAGAAGTGGAATTGATTTACCCAAATGTCTTTCAGCTGAATGTGATTTGTTAATTTTAGATTTAAATGCTATGCTGGTCTTTCATTTATCTGCTTCAGCCTATGGTTTGCTTCCTTGTATGTTTTATTTTTAACTGCAAGGTTTTACATCTGTATTAATAAGTCATCCTGCAAATATTGTAGCAGTAAATAATTTGCACTTTCCAAGTGAAATTATTGTCAGAGTTTGTGCAAATAAACCAGTCTGATTTTGTACAAGTGACACAAATACAACAAACAGAGCATAGTCCAATGGAAGAGACAGTCTTCAGAATAGCTGTTCAAGGATTCCTTATTGCTTTGTTATGCATTTTTTTGTGAAACAGGAAAATGACTTCAACTTACAGCCCGACCTGGTCATTATTTAAAATCACCAAGTCATTTTTAGTCTCCAACTTTTCCTCTTCATAAGTAGCTTTTTGGATGGGCAGCATGGAAGCTGCTAACTAAATTTCAATTTTTAGGAAGACCTTTAGTAATATAACTAAGGGTGATAAAAATCCTATTTAATGGGGAATACTCCTTTGCCATGGGCTTGATCAATAAATTAAATGGGTTAATTAAGTTGAGCTGTCAGAACCAAGGACTGTCATGAAGTCAGGCCGGCAGAGCTGGCCATTTATCAGAGGCAAAAGTTTGTCAAGAAAAGGCAGCCTTTAATAGGTTATTCTGGAGTGCATGCAAATGAGCAAGTACCTAAAAAAATCTAGCAAGGAATGTCTGTCATCTGATCACAAGCAATATAAAAGGAGCTTGATACGTCTGTGCAAAGTCATTAAATTTGGTATCAACCTTCTTACTGTGAGTTCTTGAACTTCAGGTTCTGAGGAGATAAATTGGCTTGTGAGTAATAGTTTTAGGTATTTCCATTTTTCACTCTTCACTGAGAAATTCAATTTGTTTTATATTTTGAGATTTATATATATATATACAAACATATACTTATATATGTATGAAGTGGTTTAAAATGCAAGCTTATTAAAAATTATGAAAGCTTTTATTGCTTTCAGAACATTTGTAGGAATTATGTTCTGCAGGTAGAATTCAGTGCAGAGATTGGAGGCAGACCAGTTTATTCCTGTCGTTTCAGCACAGGAAATTTCCAGTGTTACTTGTGCCTGGCTCTGTTTGCTGCCCACAGGAGAGTCCTGGGCTGTGAGGGTCTCACAGCTGGGTGCTGTGGGCATCTGCATGGAGGACCCTGATGAGTGACCCCAGCTGTCTTTGGACGTCATTGGAGAGGAATAGTCAGCAGAGCTTCAGTGCCCACTTACTGAGGGTCAAGAGACAGAAAGCTGAAGGTGCTCCACATCTTTGGTTTTCCCTGTGAGCTTTAGGCTGCAGAAGGGTGACAGTCAGGCACAGTTTCTCTGGCAGCCATAGGTGTGATGGCTGATGTGAAGCTCTGTGAAGCTGCTGTCTGAGGAGCCCCCCGAGGCTGGCATGGTGTGAGCAGCAGAGCAGCAGCAGATCCTGGCTCTGCCCAGACCCCTTTGGGACCACGAGCTCCTCTGCGGATGTGGTAGGAGTGAGCTGGTGAGTGCTTCCCAATGTAGAAAGCGAAGCCGTGCATATAATTGCATCCAAGTTGCATCTCTGTTTTGGTACTTCCAGTTTAGCTCTAAAGCCCTGGCCATATGGATGCACTCCTACAGTCACTCTGGAGGCAAGCTGAGAATAAAATGAGCTGTGTGCAAGTGCTGCAAGCCTGTGTAAATGAAACCTGCCTGACAAACCAGGAACATGCCTTTTTGATGTATAACAAAAATAAAATTCTCTCAAGGCATAGAACTTTTATGTATGTTCAATTCCTGTTGATTAAATAGTTCTCAGCTCAAAACAACAAGGGAGTGAGTCAGGGATGCTGGTACCAGGGCAGTGATTTAGCAGGAGATATGTGAAGATGACAAGGCCAAGGTCTTTACTGTAGTTTGGAGATGTCATGGTTTGACACTGGCAAAATACCAGGAACCCACAAAAGTCGCTCATTCCCCCTCCCCTGCCACAGCTGAGCAGAGAAAAAAATTAATGAAAGCTTCATGAGTTGAAATAAGGAACCGAAGAAAACACTTTAAGGGCAAAACAGGCTTAAAGGTGCAAAGTGAATTTATTACTAACAGAATCAGAGGAGGAAAATGTGAAGTAAAAGAAGGTCTTTAAAACACCTTTTTCCCCCCAGCCCCTCCCTCCTTCCCACCAACAGCACAGGGAGACAGGGCATGGGGGGTTTGGTCAGTTTGTCACACAAGGTTTTATTTTGCTGCTCTTGGGAGGAATCCTTGCCCTGTGAGACCGTGGGGTCCCTCCCACGGGAGACAGTTCTCCATTAACTTCTCCAGTGTGGATCCAAATCTCACGAGCAGCAGCCCACCCAAAACTGCTGTGCCATGGGTCACTCTTCCCCAGGGTGCCATCCTCCAAGGACAGGCTGCTCCAGCCTGGAAGCAGAGCCCTCTCTCTCCACCAGGTCCCCCACTGGATCACAGCCTCCTCCAGGCATCATCCCCCTGCTCTGGCATGGCCACCTCCCCCAGGGGCTGTGGGTGCATTCCCCATGGATCCCAGGGGCTGTGGGTGGATCTCTGCATCCCCCGTGGATCCCAGGGGCTGTGGGTGGATCTCTGCATCCCCCGTGGATCCCAGGGGCTGTGGGTGGATCTCTGCATCCCCCGTGGATCCCAGGGGCTGTGGGTGGATCTCTGCATCCCCCATGGATCCCCAGGGGCTGTGGGTGGATCTCTGCATCCCCCGTGGATCCCAGGGGCTGCAGGGGCTCAGCTGCTCCACCCTGGTCTCACCAGGGCCTGAAGAGGAATCTTGGCTTTGGCACCTCCTGCCCCTCCTTCTCCTTGACCTTGGTGTCTCCATGGTGTTTCCATCACATGTTCTCATCTCTTCCTCTCTTCTAGCTAGAAAAAACTGTGCCCCCTTTATTTTGATTTTTTTTAAAGTATGTCATCACAGAGGTGTTACTAACCTCTCTGATTGGGCCACCAGCCTGTCCATCTTCAGAGCCATCAGGGATTGGGTCTGCTGGAAGCTTCTAGGGTCTGGTGGAAGCTTCTAGCAGCCTCTCATAAAAACCACCTCTATGGCCACAAAAACCAGGCTGTGCAAAACAAGCACAGGACACAAGACCCTCTTTGCAGCAAGGGTGAGAAAGTCCAAGAAGGAGAAGGGACTTGCTCTTTCCTTGAGGTTGTTCAGGAAGGGTAGAGAACAGGGTGTGCCTGACCTTGGCTTGCTGAAAGAGAAAGAGGAATTGTCATGGAAGAGGATGAAGATGAGACAGTGATTGGTGATAACTTCTGGATTGCTTCCACTCCCTGCTTAATGGGACAATAATAATCACTGTCCCATGCTGTAGTCTCAGGTTTTGTCTTGGGGACTTGGGAGAAAAGTTAGAAATACTCCCAAAAGGCTGAAGTGCCTCAGCCATGGTGTGAGCTGGGCTCCTTAGAGGGTAATTTCTTTGTGACACTGGTCTGTGGGTTCTTGATGAACATTTTAAAAAGGCTCTGGTACTTCAGCTGTAGGAAAGCCAGGCTTTTTGTGCCTTTTTTTCTTAAACTATTATCAGCAGCTGTGACAGTGATGCAATCCATATGCCGTATGGAGCACCTATATATAAAAATCTGACATATGGATGTTGTGAAGTTCTCAGAAGATTCCACATGCCTGAGATCACCCACGTGCTAAAAACATTCTGTTTGGGAATTAGTTGTTGAGATTCATGTTGAATTCCCATAGTGAAACCAGGCAAATTGTGCTGGGAATACTTGTAGCAGGGAGTCAGGTCTGAATTACTCTTTTTGGGCCCCAGTGGAATACCACAGGTTTTTGGAAGTATGTGTTTGGGCTGAATGTTTTCAAGGTGTCTCTGCAGATAACTTATATTGGATCTCTTAACCAATTGAATCTGAGCTGTTTCTAGCTTGTGGTTCTTCACTGTCACCTCCTGCCCTCCCCTATTTGAGGGTCTTTGTCTCCATGGGCAATGTGGGAGGGGGAGGATGAGGCACAACGTCACTGAACACCTGGTTTCTCAATAAAGTCTTCAGCACTTGCAACTCAGATGTCTTGTTTTGCTGCATAAACCTTAAGGCAGCCTACTGGCTGCTGTTTCTGTGGGACTTGAAGAAAGTAAGGTATTCCAATGGATCCAGAAGTAAAGCACTTTGCGAGAAGCTTCTGCCTTTGCTAACAGTGATCTTCTATGCTGCTGTAGCTCATGTCAAAATGTTTATCTGGAAGTTCTCCATGGCTAGCTAGCATGAGTTGGCCAGGTTTTTTTTGGTTTTTTTTTTGTCTCCTTTTTAAAAATCTTTTTTTATCCACTGAGATGGGAATCCACCCTTCTACTGCTGACTTGGCTGGTGCAGTAGGGCTGGCTGCACTAACCTCCCCAGGGAATTCGCCATCAGAGTGTGTGACTGAGCGGCAAGGTGGGCATAAGGCATGGTGGGCATGTTGGCTCCACACAGATGGAGACTGAGGATTGAGTGAGCAAATGGTAAGGAGGAAGGTACATATAAACTGAAAAGTCTTTTCAGTTTTACTCACTGTTTAAGAAGCACATAGCAAGTGCTATAAAAATACAGACGAGTAATATGTAGTTGGTTGATCCTCCCCTGGCCTCAGCAGAGGCAGATGGAATTGGACCCATTTATCTGCTAGTTTTGGGGCTGGTTCAGAGTGAGTGTGAGTACAAACTCTGCTGTTGCACAAGGGTCATGATCTAGGGAGGGCTTATACACTTGGACGTGCTGTGCCCCCAGATATTTGTACCGGTCCCTAAAGTTTTCATGCAAGACATCTTAAATTGCTGCTGCCCTGTCTGTCGATTTTGTTCTTGTGGAATGGCAGAGGATTGGCAGTGAATTGGATCCTGCTTTCTGAAATGCTTAGTTCAGGGCTTTAGTGATGCAATGATGTGGAGTAGCTTCAAGCAGCACACGCTGGAGCTTGGTTATTTAGGGGTCCATGTTACAGATGTATCTAAACCCCTTTCTCCCCCAAAGAGATGTCAAGGTGACGTTAATTCCACTACCAATATATGTTTGTTGTAATGTGTGAAGCAATAGCAGGAGGGTGAGCCTACAGCACGTGCCTGTACATCACTTTAATTTGTAATCAACCTAGAATGATTTCTAGTTCATAGCTATGTCGTAGTTATTTGCACATGCTGTGCTACAGTGGATTCTACTTGCTTAAAATCCTTGTCAGGGAAGAAATTTTTCTGGCTTTTATTTGCAATGAAAGCTGTTCCCTAGAGTCATGTCAGCTGCAGAAATCCAGACCCCAGCACAAGTGTCTGCATTAAAAACTGAGCTTTGGGCTCCATTAAAATACCGTGACTGCACATGTCACAAACAGAGACAGGCAGTGCAGTAGCACAGGCACTTGAAAGATCCTGCTTTGAAACCGAGGGGCTTTTGAAACTGTGGGGCTTTTGAAACTGAGGTTGCAACCCTGGAGAAAAGAAACAGCTATCTCCTCTCTTTGCTTCTTCCAGCCTCTGTCAGCTTCTGGCTTTAAATTTTCTCTGAAATTATGCACTTGTCTCTTGGTAATCTTCCCCCATATTTTAACTGGGGATGGCAGGTAAGGCATAAGGTCAAAGAACTGGAAATGACCTTGCAAAACTGAGACAATGGAGCCAGAAAGATGGCCCTTCTGTTAAAACTGGTGATAGTAACTGCCAGATTTTTGGGAATGTTTGCAAAATCGTGATTAGATCAAGCAAAATTACATAAAACTTTTGACCTTTGAATATAAACAGGGCTGGAGGACTCTGAGAAGAGAATGGCAAGGCTCCAGTAAAGAGAGACAGTTTAGTCCACACTGTGTAGGCAGCAAGGCATGCTGATGGGTTAATGCATCTTCTTCACATTTAAGAGAAAAGCACATATCCTCTTCCTTTTTGTAGAAAATGTTTTGTGTGTGTATGCATGTCACTCCCATGCATAGGGGGGGTGCATGCCCTTCATTGCCTCTAAGACAAGGGTTGGCCTGCTTGTTCTGGCTAGTTTTTATAGATGGCACATTGCCACAATGTAGGAGTGACTTTTATTTCTGTAGCATGCCCTGTGGTCACCACTTGTTCAATATTAAGTCTGTTTTCCCTCAGTTCCTTTTGGAGGAGGGTTGGAGCAGTGTTTTGGTTGGTTTTGCTGCTCTGTTGTTGCGTGGCTGCAGGTGTTTCTGTTATTTATGGATGCTCCAACCAAGGGAACTTTTGACGTGGAAGGGTTTAGGGTTTATGGTGAGGTCACAGTTCCTGGTGGAATTAATTCATCAGATCCCCTGCCCTAGCAGGGAAATGTGTGCTCTGCTTTTAACCATGTGAGTAGTCCATGTTGAACCTGAGTTAGAAACAGAGATTGCTTTTTGACAGTGTCAAAATAAATTAGAGAGCAATAGCAAACTCCAAAGAAGATATTAGGATTTAAAAAACTGAAGACTCTTACTTGCTCATCCTCTGCTCTTGTCCTAGTCTTTTTAACTATGGAGCAAAAAGAGAAAAGTGCTGAAGGCTGTTCAGATTTTCAGTGCAAAAGACTAATGTTTTGGTGAGATGAGCAGGAAATAATGGCCAGAGACTTGCAGAAGAGCATTGAGATTTGCATTGATTTTTGAATCCCTGCTTAGTACTGCAGGTCATTCAAGATCCAAACTACAACAAAGGGCTTTTCAGAGACAGAAAAACAGAGATCCCATAGGTGCAGAGTGCACTAATCTGCAAGGTTATGAGTGTTATGGATTCTTATTGCTTGGTTTGGGACTGTGCATACTTTTGGGTGTGGGCTCTTAGGCAGAATAACCAATTTTCTCAAAGATTTTCCAAGGTGTTCATCTCAGTAGCGCTGTGTAAGTGCCAATTAACTTCTTGTAACTCTTTGGCAGCCTGGGAAAGCTCTACTGCATTCTCCTCTTCCCATCCTCACGGGGAAAGCAGAGGCTGGGGAAGTTGAGCCCTAAGGCTGTTGTTATGTTCCTGCAGCCTGTGCTGATGGGATCATTGGAGATGGCAGACAGGAGCCTGTGGCTGCAGACAGACCTTATGTTGTAGGGACACCCAGGAGGTGAGTGGGAGTCTGAAATTCATGGCTTAAGGATCTTACATAGTGTCAAAACAACCCCTAGGGCAAAGAAAAGGATAGAAGGCAGTTCTCCCAGGCCATGCTTAGCTGGTGCAAAGTGACTGGTGACTTTTTGCCAGTCCCATTCCCTGCTTTGGCACCAGGTCTTGTTTGTATTTTCTTCCAGGCCCTGAAGGAAGTGAAGTGAGGCTCACACAGACAACTCTGGTATCTAGACCAACTGTGGGAGCAGAGATATGTCCTGTAAGGAAATGTCCTTTTGGGTGTAAATAGTACATGATGAGGGCCAGCAGACACAATCCAAAAAGCAGCCTGGACTTGTACTTTCTGAAAGTCTGCATCCCTGTCTCAGCTCAGGACGCCTCATTTCCAAAAGCATTAAGAATTTCCGTACAGCTTTAGACTGTCTCCAGATTCCTACCCACTCAATCTCTAATTAAATGTAAGAATTTCCACTTTATGATTAATCCTTCTTTTCAGGGCAAGTTGCAAAATAGTTGAAAAAGTAAGACTTATCTGTCTGCTGCTTTCCTTCTGCCTTTTTAGTTTGCAAATGAATGTAGGGTCATCTTATATCATTCGTCTTCTTAGAACTTTTGCCAGTTTTAATTCTGTAAAATGCAATAGTCATTCCTCATACTTATCTGTAAATTGCATTGAATCTTGTTGCAGTCATATTAGGTGGTAATGATTTATATGCCTTCTAATAATTTATTTGATTATGCCAGCTATGTTCCATTTCTAAAGAATTATCAAGTTAATGCTCTTGCATAGGGAACAAAGAAATATTTTCCATACTTCTTACTTTGCCTTTCTGCACATTGGTACAGTGCTGCATTTTTTGTTTATTAATACTGTGGTGTGTAAGGATGAGGCTGACAATTTATTGGAGGTATTTAATGTTGTTAGACCCCAGGTTGCACAGAAGTTGCATATCCAGAGGTGGTTTCAGTGTGGTGATTGTCACTGCTTGGGTGTTTCTGCCTTGTGCACATCCCCAGATTCTGCAAGTCTCTGATGGGAGTATCTGTGCTGGCACAGATGGGGTTGATGGCTCTGAGCTCAGTGGGAATGAGAAGGACAAATAACACTGTCAAAAATTTCAGTGGCAAAATATGTTGGGTTTTCCTTTCCTTTTCCTTATGCCCCAACAGTTCTGTGCCAAGCATAAGGAGCTCTCTCACCCCCCATTCAACAAAGGGCTGGGTGCAGGGAAATAGCTATGCACAGGTTTAAATTTAGGATTGGAATTACTCCCATAGATTTCTGAGGCAATTGTTTTCTCAAAAAGAAATAACTAGGAAATGGGGCTGCTGGGGAAGGACAGGTAGAGAAAAGCATAGTAGGAATAAAGAAAAGTGATTTTTCTATCTGGAATGTTTCATACACTGGAAACTTTCAATATTTCCTTTCTTGATGGACTGTCTACCCTGTCTGTTTTCTCTCCCTTTTGGAACTTTGTGCTTAAGTCCTGGATAATATGCCTCCCACACCAGCTGACAAAACACAAAGAAGTAGAAAGAAGCTTCAGCTCTAGGGTAAAACTCTTCTTTTCATGAAAAGAATTACGTAGTTTTTCTTTCCTTTTCCTTGACTTTCATATTTAGAGAAGCACAGGATGGAACAAAGTATTGCACAAGTGCAAACAATGTCCAACTTTTTTTTCCTCACTAAAATTTCTCTTTGAAAAACACTAAGTTTCTTTCTGAACATGTTGCCATAAAATATCGATTTTTGGCAGTGTTTGAATGCTGCTTTTTTTTGTCATTTGAAAGTACTGTGCTGCTGAGACATTGCACTTTTGAACAGGATGAAATATGTTTATTTCTTAGGAAAAATGCTTGTGATTACTCCAGAAGCCAAATTGTTGCATTTTCCAGAGTTCAGAATACAGCCTGGTACTGTGTGCACATGAGAGAAGTACTACAACTCAAAGGGACAGGTGGAAAACCAGGAAGATATTTTACCCAGTGCACAAGCACCTGGAATCATGCAGAAAATCAAACAAGAAATTACTTCCTAGCAAAAAATTAAAGCATCCAAGCAATGAAATTAATAATCAGAGAGATATATTACACCCTCTCCCTTTAAACTAGGTTTTTCTTCTATTAAAGCACTTGAATTTTTGGACAATTTGAGTCCTGACCCTGTAAACTGCCTTGTTCCCAGTTCTGCTCTTGAGTAGTTCAGCCCCCTCTGATGCATTGAAACTGAGGAGCCAGATCCACAGCCTAGATCACTGCATCTGCCCATGGTTACAAAAATACACTCCATGTCTCTTAAATGTTTTGGTTCTCTTTTCTTTACCATTACTTGTTATTGCTTTGTATTGCTATTATTGCATTAATTCTACCACTGAGTGTCACTGGGATTGGGCTTCCTTAACATCTCTGTTCATGTGCTTTTCAACATTATTTGCTTTTTAACATTAGTGAAGACAGCTGTGTGCACACAGAACATCTGGGGGCCTACTGAACTGTAAAGCCTCCTGACATTGATGTTTAATTTGCATTGACACATTTTCACTTTTACTTTATACCTGCTTGCAGCCTTGCATGTCTTTTGGCTCTTTGCTCTTTTACAGATGTCAAGTAGCAGGGAGCTGAAACAGAGGAATACCCTTGGTTTTCTGCAAAGCTGTGGTGTATGAATAAGGATTTTTTTCCCAAAATTGTTCCTCAGGTTGCTGAGGACTGTTTGTGTTTAAACAGCCACTTGTTGTTTGCTGATACTCTCTTTTTAAGTGTTATTGTTTCATAATGGTCATTTGCACTTGGAAAACCTTCTTGTCAGGAGAGTGGTTGATGGTTTGCTAAGAGGCTGATTTCAACCAGATCTTTTCACAGACATGGTTATTAGGGAATGCAGCAATCTTCTGACAGATTTTCTACTCTATTAAGCAGCCACATAATCCCTGTGAATAAAAGTGCCTACTTTTACAAGAGTTGGCTTTGATGTCTTGAGGCCATTTGGGTGTTTACAATCAGCTGAAAAGCAGCTGGTTCTGCAGGTGGCAGTTCTCTGGCTATCCCCAGATGCTTTTTGGTGCAGATCTGCAAACACCATGTGTGGTACTTTTGTCTCCTTGTGCAGAGGGGCAGGTTTGTTAAAAAGGCACAGTAACCCAACCATTCTATGATTCTGTGCATCCCATGGCCTTTTCTGGACCTGTCAGATTTGTGCAAGCAAGGACTTGGTCCCCTGGGAGCACGGCTGGTCCCATGGCTCCGTGGCTGCCCAGCAGGGCTCTGCTTTGGGCCCTTCCAGTGGGTGATTCCCTTTTGCCCACAACTTCCTCCCGAACCATTGTGTTTTCCTGTTGACTAAATCCTTATTTCCTTGGCTCTGTAGTGACCCTTTAATGAAGTTAGGGCTATTTATCCCAGAGATGTGTAATATTTGTTCTCCATACATGTTGGCCTTTTGCTTATTCTTGAAGGCGTGATGTAGCTGAATTACTTCACTGTTTGTTTCTGTTCTGTTGTTGATTAATCTGTTTTTCCACTAGGGCTCTGTTATGAGAGAAGATTAAAATTACAGAGAAGATAGTTGTTTGTTTCAAATATTTTGTTTCCTTTCTCTGTTGGGAATACTAGTATAAACACCAAGCAATCTGAATTTAAATAGCTAAAGTATTAGTCTTGCTGTTCCAGTTGCTTGTCATTACACTTGAGGATAAGGTTACAGCTGATTATACAAAATATGGGAGCCATAGGTTTTACATTCTCAATCAGCATATTATAAATGAACTATGCAAATCTGAGATAGCTTTTTTTTGATAATTGAAAGAGATTTTCCTTGGAGTATGCAAGACTCTTGAGAGAAGCTGAATTGCTTGTTTGTAATTCTGTTATAAGCTTTACTGGTATTTATTTAACATGCAGTTTATTGCTACTGAATATTTTTTTTATGGCTTGCTGTCAAAATTGTCAGAATACTCAGAAGGTTGCTCCCAGTTTCGATACCTTTTGCACAGTGGTTTGTTTGTTAGACCAATCTGAAGCATTCTCCATGAGCCTGACTCATGTGCAAGGCAGCAGTGCACTTAAGTGAAGAAAATGTAAATTGTTATTGCCTGAGTGGGTCCCTTCAGCTCCCCACTCAACATTGAGGGTAATCAGCCAGCCTAGGGCCCAAAATGCAAACTGATTAGGGCTTAGATTTCTCCAGCCCTTGTATGGAGCCCCTTGGGGCCATCCCAGACCCAAGCTGTCAAATGTGGCAGATCCCTGGTCCTTGGATTTGGAGGTTTGAGGTTGGGAGCTCTTGAGTCACTTCTACAGGTCTGAGCTGTCATGGCCCCTGTGTCAGCAGCATGGGCAGATTGGATTGAGCTGCTCTTGCCTTGAGGGTGTCAGTACCTCACACATGTTCCCCCTATAAAGCTGTGTGGGTCAGCCCCAAGGTGCTCCCTAGTAGCAGAAGACCAGCACTTCTGGCAGTTAAATGCTTTTTAACAGGATGAGGGAATTTCTTGTGCTGGGACTGTGCAGACAAAGGCCAAAAGAGACATTATGTTTGACTGAGAGACCCATCACTGCTTCAGGCCTTTCCGCTTGGAAACTGGCTGAACCCACAGCTTGTTCTAGCACCAGGAGGCTGAGCTCTGCCAGGGATGGGGGCTCATGCAAGCACCTGGGACAGTCAGGTTTGGAGATCCAGCTCCTAAGGAGCACCTGGCCCTGACCTCATCATCTGCAGGCACTAGACTTAACCAGAGATTCTGCTGGGTTGTTACAGCCCATTTCATGTCTTCTTCTTCAGCTCTTCCTTGCGATGATTGCAAATAAAGGTGAAGCCATGCTGATTACCTGGTTGAGATACAGGTTAAATTCAGTTTCAGAAGAAAAAGTTAAGTATTAAATTCTCTATATAAATAAAGCAAGTGAAGCACTAATGCAGTTAGAAGTTGCTACTCATTTTTTGTTGCTGGCACCTATGACCAGGTTACTTTATGCTTGCCTGTGTTTGTTTGTCTAAACTCACAAGCATTAGTTTCTCTATAGGTTAAATTCCCATGTTCATTAGCAGGAGAGCACTGCTGCTCCTGTCCCTTCTCTCAGCATTTTAGTAGATGTTTTGTACAGCTGGATATTGCCAGGCAGGATGGGAGAGCTGCCTCTGCCAAATGGGGTGTTGTGGGGGAACACTGGGGTAGCAGGACACAGCTTGTATTTCAGTTTATTGGGTTGTGTTCACCACAGTGAGTCTCGGTTCAGATCACTCAGCCATGCTCTCTGTTTTAGTGTTTGCAGAGTCAGCCTTTGGGGCATTAGCTCCAGAGGAGATTTCTGTCTGTTTACCAAAATGGAAATAGCCTAGCTTGGGAGTGGGCTGCGATCCCTTCAGAAAACTCACCTTTAATATATTTTCTGTAATCACAACTTAAAAACAACCACACGTTTCCAAAATGTTATTCAATTTTTCACCTTGGTATTTCTCACACAGGCATTAATCATCCACTTCTCCTTTTAAGTACAGGGCTCAATGTACTGCAGTGAAGAACTGTCTTCTCATGCCTGATGAAAAAGATGAGTGGATTTTACAGTGAAATTCCCATTGCTCTGGGGAGCAGGGATCGTGCCAAAAAAATGTTCACTGACCTGTGTGACACAGGTGCCATCTGTGTCAGGATTTTGGTGGAGTTAACCCCTGATAGTTCACTTTGCAGAACATCCTATCTTCCACTGCAAAGCTACAATGTTGGCTTTAAGGTTGTTAAAACCTAGACTGACTTGGTAATCATTAGGTTATCAAGTATGTGCTGGACTCTGGGTTGTGCAGGAATTTTGAGGTGCCTGTTTTTTGCCTGGTGTAGTTTGGGGCTTATCCCAGTGAACCTTAGCACTGGGTATATTTAGTCCAGCTTGTGGCTATGAAATGCAGGTTCTTGCACCATTGGCTTAGCAGTGTGTCAAAAAGAGATGTCTAAATATCATTCCCCTCCCTTTGGAAGTGATTGGGTGGGTGGCTGGGTGAGTTGTTCATTGGGGTGGGTACTAATTCATTTCACATCACTGACATAAATTTTGTGCTGATTTTCCATCCTAAACTCTTAATTCTTTGATCTTTTTCTTTGCCTGAACTGCTTTCTTTTCTTCTGATTCTTCCTACTGGGTTTTTGCCTGGAAAGAAGATACTTAGTAAATTCTGATTCATTATTACAGCTATTCAGTCTTAGGGTGTGCCCAGGTAGTTACCCAGTGCCTTGTTCCATCATTTGTGGCTTTCTGTGCAGTCCTGGGCTCAGGCATGAGGGCTTGGAAAGGAGAGGGTTTTTTCTGATGGGCATAAACTCACTGGCTGAGCAGGCTGTGGAGGCAAGATCCAAAATCCTGAGGAGGCTGAATCTGTATCTCATGTGTTGTCACAAGCAACCTTGATGTGTCATAAAGCAAGATCTGTTCTTGTTTGGATTTTATCCTGCCCTGGTCAGCTCTAGCTACAGAGGGGTCAAGCACAGAACACAGTCTGTGGCTGCTGGAGCACCTTTGTGCTCCTGGGCAGCCTCCCTGTGTTTCAGCTGGAAGCTTTGTATGTTTAACATAAACATTGCTAAATAGACATTTCAAGGGAGCAGATTTGTAGTGGTGGTGGGGGGAAAGTAAAAGTAGTCTTAAATTTGCAGAAATCTTTGACTGCAGTAAATCTGTGTACCAGGATGTTAAAAAATTTAACATGAAAACAACAGGCTGGCAGCCTGCAGTACTGCAGACTTAAAAATTAAAATGCCACCATGTTTAATGGAGCTCCCAAAAGTAATGAGAAAAATGTAATTACTTCTGATGAGACACATATTCTATTAAGTAAAGAATATGGTAACTCTTAGTTGCCTTTGGTAACCTAGGTAATTTAAAATTAGTTATATTTCTTAGAGCTCAATATGAAAATGAATTGGAGATTATATATAGTTAATATTTGCAGGATAAACAGACAATTAAACAATTTAGGTTGATTATGAACAAACCCAAATTCCTTAGAGTGATTATGGCCATGCTGCTGTTTGGGGTCAGTTTAACTCAGGCTTGACATTGAGACCTCAGTTATGAAAAGCTCTTAGCTGTTAGGTGACTGGCATAAGTGTTTATGCAGTTTTTAATCACTTGTGTGGCCTGAATGCATTCACACTTTGACTCCATAGGTACATAAGCATACAGCAAGAACAGTTAATTTTCACATTTAATACAATTTAATGGACACAATAATAAAGACCTTACTTTTCTACTGAGTTTCAGACTGTTAATTTTAAGACATCTTTCAAAGCTACTATTGAATTGGATGCTTAACTTCAGTCAAGAACTAACTTGTTTGTACAACAGAAACCATATTATCAAATGACCAGTCAACTGCCATGATGGAAACAAAATAAAGAATGTTTTTCCGTACTATGTTCGAGTTAGGATTCCACAATTTTCTCAGACTTTTCTCCTTTATATGCATGGTTCAGAAAATCCCAACACCCAAAGGGCTGAAAAACACAGAAAGTAAACATGCAACATTATTTCTGGCAGGTCTTTTTAAACCACAGAGAAGTCTGATGTGAGGTAAAGCAGGATCAGACATGCTAAGCAAATTTCAATTGACAAGTGTAACTGGAATTGAATTCGCTGAAGCTGTGTCTGTAACAGGAATGAACTTGGCCAGGCGATTGCACTACATTTTAACAGAAAATAATGAATATTGATTAAGTCTGTAGCAGGTGCAGGTGCAATAGGGTACACAGCAGGTGGTCCTGCCCTCCTGCTGTATTGGCCTCGTGGTGCTGCTCTGCCCCAGGGCTCACACCAGGCTTGGTGTGAATCTGGGGCTTTCTGTGCTGGGGCTCCTTGGGGTTTGGGCTGGGAAATGGGCACGCTGGGGCCGTCTCTGTGACTGAGGAGGGGGGTCAGTGTTAAAGGCTGGGTTTTGCTCTCAGTGTTAGAAATGGGGGGATTAACATTTGAGCTGTCTGTATAAATGAAAAAAACCCAAAACTTTATGGATAGACTAGAGTGCTTTTAGTTTGGTAACTCTTGGACATCCTAACAGAGGTTGACTTTCTAATGGACTTGGGCATTAGTAAAAGGAACCTATATGTGTCTGCTATGGAACTGCTGAGCATGGAATATTTATTGTTAGCTGAGCTATAATCACAGCTATGAAGAGTTTAAAAATAGTATGGCCTGCTGGGAGAAAAAGGTAAGAGTATGTATTAATATATAGTATTTATACCCACAGCATGCTTTTCTTCTGGGAGGTGAGTTTTAATTATAGTACATTACACAAATGGAACAGATTTTGGAGACACCTGCATGGCTCTGAGGATGAGGGGCAGAGTGCCATGGCTGGGAGAATGCTTGGGAAGGTGAGGGAAAACCAGCAGTGGCTGTAGGCAAGAAAGGGGCAGTGGGTCCCTGCAAGACATTTCTTGTGCTTTAGTGGAGTGGGATTTAAATTTAGAACTCGTATGTGACCCAATGTCAAGTCAGAAATGTGTGGTTGAAAGTGTATAATCAGCTCCAAGTGGCTGCCTTGTAAATCTCAGGAGTGGAAACTGGCCTCGGGCTAGCAGCCGTCTCTGCTGCATCTCTGCTTGAGTGAACTTTAATCTTACTCTTTATCAAGAAAAGCAGTGAGAAAAAGAGGGGAAGAATGATGAACAGAGTGTGAGTTGCCCAAAACAGGCTTTGTAACGATAAAGGTGATTTTACTGGAGACTTTGCAAAGGGTTCTGTGTGCCCTCAAAGAAAAGCAAAGTCCTGTTACAAAGTGTAGTGAGAGAGGAAGGGCCAAGAGAAGCTCAGAGAAATGCTCTGACTTTGGGAGCTGCTTCTGACTTTATTGGGTTGAATGTGTGCACAGCACTTCCAAAAATGAGGTGATGTCAAACTGGAATTTTACAATCTGGGGCCAGTCTGCAAAGCACTCTGTACTCTGTGCAGGGCTTTGTTTGCTTAAGCTGCTGCCAAATCAAGCATCTCTGCGAGCATCCGCAGTGGCACGGGTGACCAGTGTGCTGTGAGCATGCAGAGCTGTCCGGGGAAGGGGTAGGGGCATTAAACACTCTGAAATTTTGATCTGCTCCTGGCTAGGGAGGTTTTTTGTGATACTACAATATGGAGTCTTTATTATGAAAAGAGGTTATCAATGTTGTGAAACCTGGAAAACCTCATCCACTCTGCCTTGATTATTTGTGTGTATATTGTAATCTGCCATGCTTGAGACCAGCGAATATTTTGAGCCAGCAGTTTTTCACAAGTCTCAAGACAGTGTAAAATAAAGAAGGTATTAATGACAAATGGAAATTTTATCTCAGGCCTGTTCAGAGTCCTGGGAACTATGTATTTTGGTGCAATGTGCTATTGATTTCAAGAGAAGATGCTTCATTTTGTAGGTGCTAAGCATAGACTTATTCAAAGGGAAAAGTTCACAATGTCAGTGAACCAACCAAGATCTGAAGCTCAATTTGCTCTTAAATGAGTCAGTTACTTTTTATACTTATGGTCTGGAAATTTAACTTTTTATCATTTTCATGGGTTTAATATTTGTAATTTAGCAAACTACCAAGTTTTGCACATCTTCACATGTTGACAGCAAACATAAACATTTATATAAAGTAACACTGAAAATCTGTGTTCTTCACACATTGGAAGGTGTCTGACTCCATTCTATTTTCCCTAAAGGAATACCAAAATCATTTTTTTAAAAGACCCTGGACATAAAAATAGTGGTTAGTGAGTACTCACTATATGTAGATCTACTAGAAAAATTTCTGTTTTCCATTTTTCCAGGAAAACACGGGTGACATAATCCCACTCTTTGCACACATACATTGTTCATGGCCTAGAACCAAAGCATGAAAAGAAACAGAAATTCAAGTAGCTCAGTCTGCTCAGCTTTTTAATGAGAGCATAGTTTGTTACATTCACTCAAAAAATTATAATCTCATCTCTTGTGCTGTAATCTCTTCCCGTGTGGGTTTTTCCCCCTTACATAGCGTATAATTGTTTTTTCTTCAAGTCAGCAAAATGCTTGAGAAGGCAGAATTACTGAGATTTTCTAAACAGTAGAAATTGTCTGCCTACCTTTCCTGGTAGTTTCAGTTGGGTCTTGGCATGACCAGTGTTGGTAGGAGACACCTCTGTACTCCATAGAAACTTATACACAAGTTCCATTGTGTCTTTGCTGTGCATTTTCACACCCTTGAACAGTAAAAGAAAACTGGCACAAAATCAACTATAAACTGTGAAACCCCAAAGTATCAGGAAGGAATATGCATGAGTTATTTTTGAAGCATTTGGCACCACCTCTTTTGTTAGGGGAAGGGTACTTGTGAGCTTATGAGAAGTGCTCTGATGGATGCTGAAACCTGTCATAAAGCTCTGTTCAAAAAGAAATCTTGACAAATGTAAACTATTGGAAGAAGTGTTTACAAATAAACAGAGCTTTAGCTATCTTCTGATTTCAGAGGCCTTTGTTTCTCTCCAACCCTGGCTATGTACAAAATTTTCTTGTATTAAGACTAGGTAAGTGGTTACAAAAAGCTTTTTTCCCTCTTTTGACATTCATATTGGAGGAGAAAATGATTAAATTATCTTTATCTTAAAGTTTGTTAGATCTAGTAATGATCTAGTAATGTTTATTCCTGTATGCTGTCCCTCTTATAACTATGAAAATCACATAAGGGTAGTGGCATCTGTCTGGGAGTTTTGCAGACTGAGAGACATGGCCTTAAAGTTGAGTCTGTTGGAGCCATGGATGCAGTTGGATCTGTGCAGCTCCAGTGCCAGAGCCAAACTGTCCCGTGGCTCTTGGCTCACAAACAGGCAGGGTTTGGTGCCCACAGGAGGAGCCAGCACTGTCACTGAATCAAAAATCATCAGCTGCCTCACTGTCAGGGTGAGCCATCTTAATTTCTAGGTCAGTTGTAAAGTCTGGAAAAAAGGTTGCTCATATAATGAAAAGAGTTTTAAAAAATCTCACAAGTTACAGTGTTGCACGTTGCTGCTGGGCTCTTCACTCCTTTAGCTGTGTGGGACTGCCTGAAGGTATACAGATCTCTGAGCTCCTTGTGGGAGTGCGAGAAGAAAAAAAAAAAAAAAAGATGTAGCTGGGTCAATGTGTGTGACTGTGACAGATCACTAGGCTTTGATCTTTGGAGTTCCATGTTTATGAAGGAAGGTAGTGAATCAAAGAACTGTCTTGGTTTGAAAGACAGGTATCTGCTAAGGAAGGGGAGGAGCCCCCCTTGGAATAGAAGATATGACCCCCTACCTTCTAAATTATTATAATTTTGAAATTAAGGGGGCTTTCAGGCAAAGATATGAGAAATGAGTAACGCTTCTTTACTAGTGTGTGTATGTGCAACGAGGCAAACAACAGCAACGGTAACAACAACAAAGAACAAACAGCCTGTTTTGGGCAATTTTGGACAGAGTGGGATAGGCACATGCTGTCTCCATATTGCTTCCTTGCTGCCTGCTGAGATTCATTGCTTTCAGGGCTGTACAAATCTTGGTTTCACATGTTCTGCTCTGGGTGTAGCTTTCCATTGTCTAACAGCAAAGCAGTGACAGCACATGAGATTTTTTTTTTTATGCTGAGAATAATTTTAA